ATCAGGATATAATTAAAGAAATAAGAGTTCATGTTGCTTTTAAAATATTTCACCAATTTCTCTAAAGGAAACACTATCTACAGATTTGCATCGAAGCGTTTCTTATGATAGTGATTTTAATCACTGTCAGATATCATCTATACTTGTCCCATCTATGCCTCGTCCACACTGTGCCTCGACCCCACTGTGCTACCGTTTTTTTAAGTATATATTTGAGTTTTTTCTTGTATGTAATGTGAATTTACCATTCATTTAAACAAATATTTTTCGAGTTAGATTACATTTAATATGAGTACTAAAATTTATTTTCCATTTTTTCCATTTTACAGTTACTTTTTATCATGTTATACTTACATTAGAAACAATGTTATAAATTATATAACTATATATATAATTATTTATTTATAGTATCATTAAAGTGTAGTGTATATTAAGATACAACCGATAGAGTAGGTCATTGATTTGAAGCTATATTGTTTAAACCCAACCAAACGCTAAATTGTAAATTCCCAAACATCAATTATATTATGTCATTTGCCACCGGAATTTCTGGTAATAATTAAGTTAACTGTCATAAAGCATATTGGCCTTTGTTCGGTTGCTGGAGCTGGTAAAAATTGTGGCTGCCGAAAAACAGGGCTTAAATGTTCTATTATATATGAACATTGCAAAGTCAATGGTGTACAAATTCAATAGAAATAAGATTAAAAATTAAGAAGATTGTACTTTTGTTGAAAATATATTCTATCAAAATTTAGAAGAGGAAAATGGAAAAGAATTTTGTTTGATATATTTGTCAAATAACTTTATAGAGGAGAAATCCGCCATCGATTACATATTTTGCACTATTAATGCATATAATTTGTAATTAGAATATAAATAAGGAAATAGGGCATCATATAGCTTTTGTAATAATCCATTAATTTTTTTTAATTAAACACTAACTACAGATTTGCATCAAGGCATTTTTTTCTTGTTTTTTAATCATTGTCACATATCATCTATACTGGACCCAATTATACCATGTCCCCACTGTGCCGGGACACTACTGGTTTTTTTTAAATAACGATTAGTTGAAATAGTAGCAATGGGTTTACTTAAATTATTTTAAAAATTTTAATTAATTTTAACAATAGAAGTTATTGAAGATAGAGTTATAATTTTATTTGACCTTTTAAGTTTTATATCATGAAAGTTATTACCCACCATTAATATTACTAGAACAAGACCAACTTCATACACTTTATGACAATTAATTTTATCATTACAAGAAATTCCGGTTGGCAATAAGGGATAAGGTTGGATAAGGGTTGACAAAAGAAAACACGAGGTAGGTGAAATAAGGAGACCAGTGACAGTAGGCAAGGACGTGATTGGAGAGGTGGAAAGTTTTAAGTATTTAGGATCAGTTGTGCAAAAGAGAGATGGTATTGACGAGGATGTAAGAAACAGGATTAAGTGCAACTTTTTGAATTGGAGAGAAGCGTCAGGTGTCTTATGCGATAAAAGAATTCCAATGAGGCTGAAAGGTAAATTCTACAAGACTGTAGTGAGACCAGCTATGATGTATGGTTCAGTGTTGGGCGGTTGATAAGAAAGTAGAGCAAAGATGAGAATGCTTAGATGGATGAGAGGAGTGACAAAAAAAAGATAGAATAAGGAATGAGCATATAAAAGGGAGTATAGGTGTAGTGTCAATCATGGATAAGATGAGCGAAAATAGACTTAAATGGTTTGGGTTATGTTATGAGGAGAGAACAATTGTAAGCTGTAAGAACAGTTATAGAAATGAATGTTGAAGGGAAAAGTAGAGGAAGACCAAAAAAGAGATGGAGAGATGTTATGGAATGCGATATGAGGACAGCTGATGTAAGCGTAGATTATGTGGGAGTTCTTGTCAAGTGGAAGTTTAGGATAAGGGTGGCTGGCCCGAGTAGTTGGGATTAAGGCGAAGAAAAAGAAGAAGATTACTGGAAATTCTGGTAGCAATTGACATAATATAATTGATGTTTGGGAATTTACAATTTAGCGTTTGGTTGGGTTTAAACAATATAGCTTCAAATCAATGACCTACTCTATCGGTTGTATCTTAATATACACTACACTTTAATGATACTATATATAAATAATTATATATATAGTTATATAATTTATAACATTGTTTCTAATGTAAGTATAACATGATAAAAAGTAACTGTAAAATGGAAAAAATGGAAAATAAATTTTAGTACTCATATTAAATGTAATCTAAATCGAAAAATATTTGTTTAAATGAAAAATAGAAGATATCTTTTTTGTTTAAAATTATCTTTTTAAACTTTTTTTTGTAAGTTAAATATTTTTTGATAAAATTAAAAAAGCTCATTTTTGAACTTTTGCAAGGCTGTAAAAAAAGCTCAATTTCAATCGATGAGAACTTTTAGTATATCTTAATTCAACTTTAAAAAAAAAATTTGGTTGGGAATTTTTTCTGCCTTTTTTCCTTTGTTTACTGGCCTATAGTGATTATATTATAAAATACTTACATTTATGATTTTATCCTTAAGAGAAATATAATTCTATAATTATTAATATTCTAATTTATCACTTCTGAACAAAATTAATGAGTATATTACATTGTAAGTTTTTGACATTATAACTACAAAATATTACAGTAGATAATAGTCATGACAAAAAATTTTGTGATAACAAGAAATTTTAAATCTTAAGTTTTTTTTTTTTTTTTTTAATTAAAATTTTGGTATTTTCGTTACGGCAAACTATTAAGCAATACAAATTTAACAATAAAATGACATAAACTCAAAAGTGAATTTTTTGAATTACTGCTTTCTTTGTTGCGTATATGAATATGAAGTAAATGTTTTTATTTCCGTAAAGAGAAATTATTTGTGTCAGCAAACTACAATAATTGTTTTTCATCCCTTCAGGGATAAAAAATATTAACTTTAATTTTCATATATAGAAACATTAAACTTGATTGTATGATAGACAAAAAAACAATTTTATGTATTCTTTTATATGATCAATTGTTTGTATTTTAAAATAGTTAAAAAATTAGAATTTAAAGCAAAAATTCTTCATTAAATTGGTTTTTTTTATATTGGAATAGGCATTTATCTGTTTCAATAAGCCATAAATTATTTTTAATAATAATTATCAATAAAAATGTCCACATCGGTGACCAATAATTTATAATAATAAACTTGTGTTAAATATAAGAGTTTGTTTCTATTAATAGATGATTGATTAAGGATAAGATTTTCCTATATTAGATAATTCTTATGTCAATAAAAGTAAGTTGAAATGACATAATGGAAAAATGAAAATTTCTTAATAATGAAATATAATAAAGAAATTTATCTTAAATTATTAACATGTTGAAATAGATGAACAGCAGTTGATCAAATATAAAAATTGTAAATTTTTGTTTATCATTTTATTTAGTCAAAAATAGAGGTTGCATTAAAAAAAATTATTTTATTACATATTTTAGTTTTTTGATCCAAATATTTTTTCTTTTTACAAAAATAAAAAATTTCTAATTGTTTCTCAAAAAATTAGTGTGTTACCCAAAATAGCTAATCTTGTTTATAGATATTTTAAAACCAACTAAGCTATCAGATTATTATAAAATAGTTCTATAATATTCAAAATTGTAGTATCATTAAATAAATATTATCTTCTTAAAAACAATTTTTATTCTTGAAAACGTGTAATTTTTATTCAATTATGCAAGAAAGGCGTTACACTTATTAATCTTATTCATTGTATTAAATTTTTTTTTTATGATAAAGGTATCAAGTATGGAGCTGGTTCAAGAAATACATCAACTACTAATGGATAGAGAAGATACATGTCATAGAACATGTTTTTCCCTACAGCTAAATGGAGTAACATTAGATAATTTTTCTGAACTAAAATCTATTGAAGGGTTAAAAGATGGATCAATGATAAAGGTTCGATTACTATAGATATAATATTAATTAGTTTATTGATAAGATTGATCAAAAGCTTTGCATGCTAGAAAGTGTACACAAATTCGAAAAAAAATAGTTTTGAGAGAAACTAGTTTGAAAATAAGAGTGGCAGTAGTAGATTTAAGGCAATAATGAGTCAATTTAAATAACTTTCTATTTAATCAGCTATTCCAGCACCATATTACAGTCTGCTAATGTTCTTTTTTCTTTCCATTACCCTTGAAATTGTTCATGAATGACTAATTTCTTGATCACTCTGTATTACTTCTTGTGTGCTTCAACCAGTCGACCAAACTCACTCAAATACCTAGAACTTTTAAATGGCTTGCTTGGGATTTAGCCTTGAAATTTTCACAGTATACTTTTGTATAATTCTAGAATTGATTTATGAAAAAAAAGAAATCGCATCTCTACACCTACTTTCTTCCTTAATAATAAAAGAGCAACCTCAAGATAATTGATCTTTTATAATAACACTTTTAATAATAATATGATTTATAATTGTAGATTGTTGAAGAACCTTATACAATGCGTGAAGCTAGAATACATGTGCGCCATGTCAGAGATATACTCAAATCTCTAGAAATGTCTGATGCTTATAATGGTATTGATTGTAACTCTTTGTCATTTTTAAATGTTGTTACTCAAGGAGATATATTAGGTATAATTATATACTGAATGAATTATAGTAATTTTAATATTGTTTTTCCAACTTATTAGAAAAAAAAAAAGCTCGTTCTGAAAGTGTTGATTGTACACCTCCTGATTACATAATGCCAAATAGTAAAGAAAGGCCCTTACTTCCTTTACATCCTACTTCTAAAGACTTCAAAGGTCCACAATGTATTAAAGTAATATAGTAATAATTTACATATATTTAAATTAATGTAATATACATTAAAAAAGTGCTTTTCTGTATTTTAAATGTACATTAGGTTCTTACTACTTCAGCTTGGAATCCACCACCAGGCTTTCGTAAAATGCACGGTGATCTTATGTATTTGTACGTAATTACTTTAGAAGATAAACATTTTCATATCACTGCTTGTACAAAAGGATTTTTTATAAATCAGTGAGTAAAGTTTTAGTTGTTATATAGATAAGCAAGAACTTCCCATGCACTCGGACCTATAGGTCCATTGTGTGCTCCTGCTATTACTATTGTTGAATACCTTAGACTATACATGGTATTCAGAAAGTAAGGAAACAGTTTTATTGTTATAAACAATGAGAACAAAAGAAACTAGTTTCCTTACTTACTGAACACTATATATATGACATCCTACTAAGCTGCATCTATATATATTTAAAGAGTCCTATCTCTGGCAAAATTAAATATCCCTTTGAGTTTTATGTTTTTGGTATCTTCTTCTTCGGGAAAAGATTTTCCTTAATGTGTCCAGGGTATCACATTCACAGATAATGTGAAATGAATCATCCTCTTCTGTTCCATACTTCCTGCACAGTGATGATTCTGTCACTCCGACTGTGTTAAGATGTTTAAGCAGATGACCATGTCTTGTCGTAGTCCAGTCAAATGTTTATTTGATATCTAGTCATGTAATTAAAAACTCTTAATAGCAGACTGAGAGTCTTAATAAACATTTTTTATTGTCTGGGTACCACCTTATTTTCCTGTGTTGTTCTCTACACAAGATATTACTTAGAAGGATTGTTCTTTGAGTCCTACCCCTGGTTGATTTGGTCCTACATAGTTGTTTTCTGCACCTATCCTTGCTAGAAAGTCTGCTTTTTTATTACCAGGACACTGCTGTAATTTGGTACCCATGTCTGTGTAACTACTGAACCTTGCTAGTGATTCAATAGTTTCCCTGTATTCAAGGACTAGTCTTGAAGTCACCTGGTTATTACTAAGTGCCTTCAAAGCAGCATTACTATCACTGAGGATACTTTTCTTGAATACTAGCAGGTTCTGGACCTCTAATAATATAACCATTACCTCTGAACACAAAGGGTATTGTGCCCAATCAGTGAGTTTAATACTTAATTTTTTTAATAATTATTAAAAATAATAATAATTGGATAAAACTTTTTTTATATCAACAAAGGTAAATTACACTGTTTATTACAAAATTGTTTATTAAATATCTTCTTCATTTTTCTCGCCTTTATCCCAACTCGTTGGAGTTGGCCACCCTTATCCTAAGTATTACAATATAAATAGAATTTGAAATACAAATTTCATGTATGTTTCTGATATGTAAAATAATTTTAGTTCAATATGTAAATGTTTAATTAAAAAAAAAGATTTAGTTTTTTAACTTGAAAATTAATTGGCCATTAAATTTTAATTTATTATATAACCTATCTATAATAGATACTATTAACTAAACATAAATACTCTTTTCTTGTTAATTTATATTATCTATATGTAAATATTAAGTCACTTTAAAATATTAAGTTTAAGTTTAAGTTTTGATATATCAAAATGCAAAAATTAATTTTCATTTATTTTAGGTCTACTAATGAAGAGTTTGATCCTAAGCCAGCTACACCAAATCATTTATGTCATTCTCTAATAGAATTACTCAGTCAGGTTAGTGTTGCTTTTAAAAGAAATTTTGCTATACTACAAAAAAAAAGAACTGCACGTCATCCTTTTGAAAGAGTTGCTACTCCTTATCAAGTGTTCAGTTGGGCATCTCCTTTACTTGATCATACTTTGGATGCTATAAGAGCCGAAGACAGTTAGTCATAAAAATTTAATGATCAATTAAGTTATTTAAAAATGTATAGAAATTGTTCTTTTATATTAGCGTTTTCATCAAAGCTTGGCTATGAAGAACATATACCTGGTCAAACACGTGATTGGAATGAAGAGTTACAAACTACTCGTGAACTTCCTCGTAAAAATCTGCCAGAACGTCTTTTGAGAGAAAGAGCTATTTTTAAAGTAAAATTAATTAAATTTTGTTTTATTTTAATTTTTTTAGTATAATTAATTAATTTTAGTTTCTATGCAAAGTTGAGTAGATATTAATTTTACTATGATGGTTTATATTTTTTTTTTTTTTTTTTGTGTGTGTGTCTTTTGTTATTTTTTCTTAGCTCTCGCTGAACTGGTTTTACTTAACAAAAAATTGTATCTAGTTGAAGACATTTCCCTTAAATTTTGAGAAAAAGATATCCCTCATTCCCCATAAATTGACCAATAAATTATGATTTTTAAAATTGACATTAATTTTTGTTATTTTTTAAACTTTTTTTACTTAAAATTGCCATAACTTTTGAAAAATGGATGATCAAAACAATTTTTTTTTTTTTAATATCTCATAATAAGTATGACCTTTTTATTAAGTATTTTTTTTTTTTTTAATTTAACCATTTATCTACCTACAAGGAATTCACAATATCAACTTTTGCATGAAAAGTCAACTATTAAAAATGTTCTGAAACTACTGTGTTCTTTAAACATATATTAATGATTATGTCACATACTATAAGTTAAAAAAATATATATTTAATACTACAATTCTAAAATAAATAAAATTAATAAAAAAAATGTTTTCAAGTAATTTATTTATTTATTAGAGAACTTATAACTGGAATATATTTCGAAAAATGTGAGTTCATGTTGTTTGTGACATAATCAAAAATCTACTAAAAATAAAATACAATCTTAGATCAATGAAAGATTTACATCAAAGCTTTTTTTTATGATGGTTATTTTAATTACTAATAGATTTCAATACTAAATTGGTGTCCACTATGCCCTATTTTGACTGTTCTGGTTTTTTTTGTAGGTACATGGTGACTTTGTAGCAGCTGCTACACGTGGAGCTATGGCAGTTATTGATGGCAATGTGATGGCTATAAATCCTGGAGAAGAAGCTAAAATGCAAATGTTTATTTGGAATAATATATTTTTTTCATTGGGTTTTGATGTTAGAGATCATTATAAAGAACTTGGTGGGGATGCTGCTGCATTTGTTGCACCTGTATGTTAATGAACCGTAGTATTCAATATTTTTTATAACTCAAAAGTTAAAAGTTACATTTTTAATTTTTTTTTTTTTCAGCGGAATGATTTACAAGGCGTTAGAGTTTACAGTGCTGTAGATTTACCTGGTTTGTATACACTTGGTACTGTGGTTATTGATTACAGAGGGTATAGAGTTACTGCTCAGTCTATAATTCCTGGTATACTTGAAAGAGAACAAGAACAATCTGTTGTTTATGGATCAGTGGACTTTGGAAAAACAGTTACTACTAATCCTAAATATATTGAACTGGTAATTAAAAAAAAAATGTATTATTTCTTTTACAAAAGTATGGGTTTTTTTTTTTTTTTTGTCTGTCTAGCTTAGTCAAGCTGCTCAACAACTAAAAATTATGCCCCATAAAGTAATTAGTGAAAAAGATGAAGAAATTGAATTGTGTTCTTCTGTAGAATGTAAAGGAATTATTGGAAATGATAGTCGTTATTACATATTAGATCTTCTTCGTACTTTTCCCCCTGATGTCAATTTCTTAATACGTAAGCCATTTTAATATTATTGTTTATTATATCAAAGTTTATAATCAAAGTATTATGCCAACATATATTGGTTTACATAAGCAAAACAATTTACTATAGTAAAAGAATTAATGATTTTTTAAAAAATTTTAAACTACAGAAAAATTATTTAAGAAAATTTATATTTTTTATAAATATTTAAATATTTATCCTATTCTACTCATTATTTTAGTTAATGAAGATGTATTAAGCCAAGAAGTTAAATCTTTAGGATTTCCTATTCAACATAGGCATAAATTGTGTTGTTTGAGACAGGAGTTAATTGATTCATTCATTGAGTAAGTTTATTTTTTATCTCGTATAAAATAACTTGGCTTTTTCAAAGATATAAAGTATAAACTACTTTGTTAAGTTATTTATTATTAATTTTCCAAATTGTATTTTTATTAGTAAATTAGTTACTACCAAAAATATTTCTTCGCTTCTATATAATCCTTTGATAAAGTTGCACAAACTTGGGACTATTCAAACTGTGACTTAAATAAAATTTATAAATGCATATAATTTTGCACCTTAATGATTACTATTAAATGAAATTATACTTACAAAAAATATAAATAACCAATAACTTAAATAATACAATTTTTAATAAATATACTCTGAGCTATATACATTTAAATACTAAAAAATTGTTTATTTTTGAGGATTGAGTACTTTTTATTGTATTATTATAAATGTGAAGCTTTGCCTATCTATATCACTGCTCCACTCTAAGAGCAATCCAAAAAAAATGTCCGGATTTGTGGCAAAAAAATTAATGAGTTTTACACCTGCCTTACTTCATTACTTGTTTGTGAATTTTTGTCCAAAAACAATACTATAATGATGCCCCAGCGTCCATGTTAGCCAGACATGGTACTGTATTACTTTTTTCTATTTCCAAAAATAAAGAGAACCATTAAAGGCCATCATTTTACAAACATAGATGACATTAAAAGCACATTGTTTAATGAGCTAAAGGCTATCCCAAAGATCGAGTTTGAGAAATGTTTTGAAAATTGAAAGAACCGTTGGCACAAGAGCATTAAATCTAATGGGGACTTTTTTGAAATCGATAAAATTAACATAAACGAATAAATAAATATTTTTTTCAAAAAACGAAAATCTCCATTATTTTCTGAACACATCTCATGTATATATATTTAAATTAAAATTAAATAAGTTATACAATCATAATTTATTGTATAAAAATCCTTAGAAAAGATTTGATTATCAGAACTCATATCAATTGTCCCATTAGACAAAATAACTTATAAAGTATTTAGTCAGTAAAATTTCATTTGATAGTATCTGTGCAATTGAAAACTATCGATGAACTCATCTAATAGTTTTTATTTAGATAAAAACTATTGAATCTTTATTTGGTAGTTTGATTGTCTAAAACTGGTTGGTCGTATGTAATAACAATCGAATGACTATTTGATAGTTTTTTAAAAACAAATAAACCCAGAAGCCAAAACTATTCAATTGTGCCCTTCACTATATATATAAAAATGTAACTAAATAAAAACATTAATTTACAGGACACGTTATATGATGTTTATCAAATATGCAGCATTCCATTTACAACATTTAAATTTATGGAAAAATAAAATTAATGATGATATTTCAGGAAAAACTTTAGAGGTTAGTTAGAAATTTGCATTATTTTATAACTTATTTTTAAATAAAATAAAACTGTAATTATAAAGAAAACCACTTAACTATTTAACTACTTGCTATTTCTAGTTTATATCTATATTCTACTAGAATATATAGTCCAGTAGAAATCGATTTAAAAATTTAATAGAGCTGTAAAAAATTTAATCTAAAAGAGTATTTAAATTTTCATGTACTGTTCATAATAGGTTAATGATTCAGTTGGTCAAATAACAGAAAAAAATGATACAAAATGTGATCATATAATAATTAATGAAGATGACACTTCAGAAACAAAAAAAAAAGACTTGGAGACTATTACTAAAACAGCTGTTAATAATTGTAAGTTATAGTTAATGTGAAAATTATGTCCTAATTATTAAATTAAATTTTAATTTTTAGAGTGGTTTTTTTTTTTTTTTATTTAATTTTTTTAATTTATGCATAATTTATTAGATTTAATTTTTTTTTAATAAAGGTGAAGATAGCAACACAAAAGAAGTTGTTAAAAAAGCTGCTCAAAAAGTTGGATCTCTAAAGGATTCTGAATTTGACATTAGATTTAATCCTGATGTATTTTCACCTTGCGTTAAGCATTCAAATCCCGACTCGGACCAATTTAAGTTGGAAAAAAAATTAGTGGTAGATGCAGCTGAATACTTATTGCTGTCACAAATACCCTTATTTGTGAGTTGTCCATACATTTATAATTAAAATACTTGCATTGAAAATAATAATTATTCTACTTATTTTAACTGTTAAAATAAAACAATTTCATTATAGATCAGAGATTGCATGGATCATTCTTCTGCACCAATGGATGGTCAAATGTTGTCTGAGAATTTACATACAAGGGGAATCAATATTCGATATTTAGGAAAAATAGCTGAAAAATTATCAAAAATTAAACGACTAGAATATTTGTTAAGTATAACTGTTACAGAATTAATAACAAGAGCAGCAAAGCATATATTTAATTCTTACCTTCAAGTAAGCTATTCTTATTAGCTTTTATTATTATAAATATTTTTTAAGATTATATGCTATTAAATTTTTTTTTTATTTGTATAGTCTGCTGAGTTGATGAGCCTAGCAAATGCTGTTAGTCATTTTCTAAATTGCTTCCTGTCGTCTTGTTCTATTCCACATCCTCAAAATACATTAGATGATGTGAAACCAACCAAAAAACGTAGTAAACGTAAAAATAGACTAAATCGGCTTTTAAATGTTGATAATAAAGAATGGGCTAATTTAACTCGTAATACTCTATGGTCTCAAATTAGGACTGAAATTAAATCTTATTATGCATGGGAATTAATACCTGACATCGTTGAATCAATTTGTGAACAGTACTCTATCCAAAAAATTTCATTATTAAGGTAATAAAATATATTTTATAGTTTATACATACCAAAATTAATTGAAGAAGATCTGTGGTACATTTTTCTAGTTGAAATAAAATATTAATTTACTCTTAAATATTGTAGATGTACATGAAATTTCCACAAAGATAATAACTACTTTCAAAATAAATTATTATTAACTAATAATTTGTTAATATATGTTTATAAGTTAGTTAAAACTGATGATTAATTAGTACTTATAATTTTACATTTTTAGGTTAAAAAAAGTTCAATATGACAAAATACAGGTTTCCCTAAAAATAACTATTGTACAATAGAGACTAGAATAAAAATTTATGAAACTTGAAATTTTTTGTATAATTGAATATAGTTAATTTTATTCTCTATCTTAACGTACAAGTTACTTTTATGAAATATGGCTTAAATAAATATAAATGTTAAAAACAAAGTATTATAATGTATCTCTTACAAGAGGTAAAAAATTTGAAGACATTTATTTCAAAATCCTTTTTTTTGAGATATTACTCAGTTTGCAATATGCTCTGTATTCATTTAATTATTTTGTCTAAATAAATCGTGACTATTTTATATAAATTCTCTATGTTAAAAAAATTATTGTAATATTTGGCATAGTATAAGTATAAAAGAAGTATCTCTACACTATGGTTTATCAAAGCTTGAAAGTCTTAATCACTTAATAAAATAAAATAATTGTAATTAAAAAAAAGAGTTTGATCATCTCATATGATAAGTATCTCGTCTGTCTTATTCTCTCGAAGAAGTAATAGAATATTAAGTTATATTCTTTACGTACATGACATGAGCAAAATTTAAGTATCAATATAAATTAAAAACATTAAAATTTACTAACAAAATATTTAAAATACTTTCTGTAAAAATATATATTCAAAAATACTTATATTTTAATAGCTTAATAAATATCTAAGTAACTTTTAGGTCTTTTTGTATAAAAACTGGCATACAAATATTGCTACGTGAATATTCTTTTGATGCAAAAAATAGATTTACATTTTTTGAAGAAGATATAATAAATATGTTCCCAGTTGTTAAACATATAAATCCTAGGGTATGAGATAAAATGTCTAGAAAAAAAATTGTATAGCTTATAAGTTGTTATATTTTCTGAATGTAGGCGACTGATGCATTTAATTTCTATACAACTGGTCAAACAAAAATTCAACAAGGTCTTTTAAAAGAAGGATATGATTTAATTATGGAAGCTTTAACCCTGCTAAATAATGTTTATGGAGCTATGCATCCAGAAATAGCTCAGTGTTTAAGAATGCTTGCCAGACTGAGTTATATAATGGGCGATTACAGTGAAGCTATGTCATTTCAACAGAAAGCTGTATTTATGTCTGAACGAGTTAATGGCATTGATCACCCCTATACTATTACTGAATATGTAAGCATTCTTTAATTACTAATTATAGTAGAACTTCAAAAATTCAAATTTCAAGGAACTTACAAGGTAGTTTTCAAATTACTGAGGTATTGAGTTATTAAGGTATTGGTTGAAAAAATTTTATTTAAGAAGTTTTAAGGATTTATTAGTCTTTTTTACATTTATAATACATTTTAACACACAAGTAGCTGATTAAAAATTGTTTATATTCAGTGAAATAATTAGCACGATAAAAGTAACCAAATGAAATTGATACAGTTAATTTATCTAGATAAATAAACAAATCACTGTAAAATCCCACTATAATTTATAATAAATTATAAATAATTCTTTAAGTTATTTATAGTTTTTCTTTCGACCAATCGAGGTTTTTTCAAGGAAACAGAATATATGTTGTCTTATTGAAGTTCTTTGTATATAATTTTTTAATTATTGACTTGTTATTAAACCAAATTTATTTTAGATACATTTAGCATTATATTGTTATGCAAACAATCAAATTACTACTGCCTTAAAATTATTGTATAGAGCACGTTACTTAGCTATACTTATTTGTGGTGAAAATCATCCTGAAATAGCATTACTAGATGTAAGTATATTAATATATTATTGAATGTTTTTAACCTTAAGCATTAAAGTTTACAAGTATAGAAAATAAAAAAAATTTGTTAATTTAAGTAACATTCAGTTGTAAGGTAAAGTAGGGTAATTGTAAATGAATGTTTTTAGATAAATATACAATTTTTTATTTGGAAATTGCATTTAGTATGATATCAACACATTAAGACCAGAACTTTCAATCTAAAGTAAAATCTGATAAATATTATAAGAGAAAAGTAAAATTTACAATTACCCCATTTGTTCACATTTACCCCACTTCACCCTAATATGTTTAAATGTTTAATTTAATTTTTTTAAGATATATGTTATCATTTATTTGTCTTAACTTATGAATTATATAGCTGTCTGTCAAGTAGTTCAGCTGTCAGTGATGGTAAATACACAAAAAAATTTTTTTCTAAATCAGAAAAAATTAAGTTATTCTAAAAGTTATTTATATAAAATAAAATTTATTTCTATTTTTTTATGGTCTTTTAGAAAACGAGACTAAGTTATTAGATAATGTTATTTTGAACAATCTGTTAAAATTCTTAAACATTTATCTTGAATAAATCCTTAATTTATCAGCACATATTGTATAGATAACCTTAAAATGCTAAAAATTTATATAAATTCACTAATAATTTTTTATATTATAAATGCATGCAGTTCAAGCTTCTATTTCTAATTGAGGCTAGAAATAATGATCTAATACTTAGAGCTAATAATACATAGCAATATTCCTTTTTGAGCTTTATCTAGGAGAAACTTGTATAAAGGTATTCATTCCTTCTCAGTTTATCATATTAATTTATATGCATTTTTATTTACAAATTTTATTATGTATAAAGATTTCTAGAGGAACACATTCATTAATGGTATACCTAAAGTGTTATCAAATAATTATTTATAATTTTTTATGCATCAATTTCTTATTCTTTCACTATTACTTTTTCATTTTTTTCTAACGATGGAAAACTTATTTTCATGATTCCCTTTGTATTTAATAAAATATATTAAACTAATAGATATTTTTTCTCTGTTGCAAGACATTAAGATAGCAGAAAGTGACAAATGTTTTTTTAATGTTTATACAGCTCAAGAAGGGCCATTGCAACCCCTTCTTAAAAAAAAAAGGTGCCTTAATCTTATATACTCTGGGATGGGTAATGAGTTTTGCTAGAGAAAGGTATGGTAACTCCAATTACTGAACTGATCTCTTGCTCAGCAAACAGTTAACTTTAATGGAGCCTCAAACCCTTGATAGTGCTAATTAAGAATTGCTGAATTATCATCTCAGTCACACATATCTTTACATAAAATATGTAAAAAAAAATTGAATAATGCATAGTGTAAATTGGTTTTAATAATTTAAATTATAGTTATGGTTCTAAAATAAATAATAACTTTATACATTGTTTTTATAGAGCAACATTAGTTTGATTTTACATGCAGTCCAAGAGTATGATCTTTCACTAAGATTTTTGGAAAAAGCTTTGGCATTAAATATTAAATTTTATGGACCTAAATCATTAAAAGTGGCTGTAAGTTATCATTTAGTTGCCCGTACACAAAGTTGTATGGGTGATTTTCGATCAGCATTAAGTAATGAAAGAGAAACTTATGCAATTTATAAACAACAAGTAAAAAAAATATATATATATTAATTAAATAAAGCTATTATTGTTACTTTTATTGCATATATAATTTTATTAAAATATATTGTAGTTTGGAGAAAAACATGAAAAAACCCAGGAATCTTCAGATTGTTTAAAACATTTGACTCATCAAGCAGTTGTATTGCAAAAGAAGATGAATGAAATTTATACTGGAAAACCTGGTGCTTCATTACCTCCTATACAAATTCATCCTCCATCAATGGGTAGTGTGCTTGATATGCTCAATGTCATAAATGGTATTCTCTATGTACAAATTAGGTAAGAGTTCATTAAATTTTTACTGATAAACAATAACTATAACAACTTCCAGGACTCTCAACTCCATGGAAATTTATCATATATGAATACAGTACCACAAAGTATTTTTTGTTTTAGGGCAGTCATCCTCCTACATTCCCAAATCTAATTTTCTAAATCATATAAATTAGTATTACAAAAAAACTAACATGAACATCTATTTATCATTAATGTACTCTAGATGACTAAAATACATTTTATAAATGCATAAGCCCTGATAATGAGTATTAAAATATTATGTTTGAAATATATAAATGTAATTTAATAAATGATTTCTAGTATTTAAATATTACAATAAAAAATCCTAATAATTTACTGTTGTTAAATATTCTTATTTTTTACAGCATTTAAAAAAATTTGGTCAAAATATTGTTTTTATAATAAGTAAATTAAAAAAGGATTTAAATACATTTTTTTTTTAGTCAACAAGATTTAGAAACATTCAAAGCAGAAGTTGAAAAACGTTCAGAAAATCACGATACTGTGAAAACACTAACAGAACAAGAAAGTAATAGCTGAGTTTTCCCAAATCACGTAGTAAGTTTGTCTTATATTTTCAAGGCTGAATAGAATAAGACAACTTAAGTAGTCATTGATGCTCATTATTTTTTATTGATTTTTTTGTTAGTTAATATCTTCTCCTGTTTTGTTACTAGATATTTCTTTTTAATATTTCTTATATATATAAACCTTTAGTGCCATTATCTAGTCTTCAATTGTTTTTGCACATTCATCACAAAATAATTATTTGTTTAAAAATAATACGGAACAAAATTATGTATTTTACATCTGTTTTAGTTAACAAAATATTTCACTGCAGTTTTTCATACTTTAAAATATTGATGTTAAATTGTATGTTACTACTTAAATTAAAAGTATATTCTGTTTTTATTATTATTATATTATTGTTATTATAGTTTAAAAAATAATTTGTTAAAAGAGATTATCTGGTAGAATTCCTAGTAGATATTAAGAAAACAATGAATTAAAATCTAACAATTTAATGGAAAATATTTGTAAAAAAAAATAATAACAATTTATTTATTATTTGAGTAGAATACAACATGAATAATATTTAATTATTTTGTTATTTACTTTACTAAGGAAATATACAAACATGTATTAGACTGTTATAAAACTAATTAGACTGGTAACAAAACAGTAGATTTATTTTAGAATGTTTGTTAAGTTTTTTTTATACAAACTATTGTAGTTCAAAAATAACATTAATAAACTAATGTTTCTTTTTTATTAAGAATTTTCAATTCTTGTATTTTTTGACACATAATGGTTGGTAAAATATGAAAAGAAGAAATAAAAAATAATTTCACTACTTTTCATTTCAAAATTAATTTACTTTTTCTTGATAAAATAGAAAAATGACTGAAACTCAATTACTACTAGGGAACCTGTATTAGTTTTGTAATTAGGTAAAAATTTGTACCTTAAGAGTTCAATTAATTGGTTCCTAAATTTTGTACATTCAATTATATTTTTTACTAGTTATTACATTCATATTTTTGGTTTAAATATCCTATAAATGAAGTAGTAACATTATATAGATAAAATTGGAAATTTTAACATTTACCAAGAAATTTGTGGTACATAAACTGTCTATGTCTATTGTCCTTCTTCTTCCTCTCCTTAATCCCAACTACTTGGGGTCGGCCACCCTTACCCTAAACTTTCACTTGACACGATCTCCCACAACTACGCTCACATCAGATGTCCTCATATCGCATTCAATAACATCTCTCCATCTNAACTACGCTCACATCAGATGTCCTCATATCGCATTCAATAACATCTCTCCATCTCTTTTTTGGTCTTCCTCTACTTTTCCCTTCAACATTCATTTCTATAACTGTTCTTACAGCTTACGATTGTTCTCTCCTCATAACATGACCAAACCATTTAAGTCTATTTTCTCTCATCTTATCCACGATTGACAGTACATCTATACTCCCTCTTATATGCTCGTTCCTTATTCTATCTTTTTTAGTCACTCCTCTCATCTATCTAAGCATTCTCATCTCTGCTACAATCATTCTCTGCTCTACTTTCTTGTCAACCGCCCAACACTCTGAACCATACATCATAGCTGGTCTCACTACAGTCTTGTAGAATTTAGAGAAAGTATTCGTAAAATTTTAGTTGAAAATTTAACCCATTTTCAAACGGTTGATGATGTAAAAATGAAAACGGCAGAAAGGGCTAACTGAAAGCGATTGGCAACATTATTTTCAAGAATGGCAGTGACGTATGCAATTGTGTTGATGCTGAGGGAAGGTACTTTGAAGGTGACTATCATTAAATTGTAAAATTTTTTAAATAAATAACTTTTATTAAAAAAGTCTCGTTATTTTATTGTCACACCTCGTATATAAATTATATAAATTTTTTAATAAAAAGTCTTAGTGCATTAATTATTATGTTTATAATAAATGACTCCCAAATAGCAATCAAGTTTAAACTATTTGACGATACAATAACTACCTTAGAAAACAGGTCATTTAATAGAACTACAGCGGATATTGTTAATACTTTAAGCTTCGATGAGAAGCTGAGAAGGTATTAATTTTACTGTGATGTGTTTTTTTTATTAATAATAATTATATATAAACTACAATTAACATCTCATTAACTATCAAAATGATACAAATTTAATATTTCAATATAACATTAATTCACTTTAATTAAAAACTTAACATATAATTTTATTATATTTATTTATTTCTACGGACAAATGTCCAATTTTAAATAATAATTTGAACTTAATAAAAGTATAATAGATTCTATAAAATACTAATAAAAATAATAATAATAATGACCAACGAAATTATTGACTATTTCCTACGGACATTAAGATATTAATTGGGTCATTTGATGTATTTGTTTAGAAGATTGAGGTATATAAAATAATTATTAACTTTGAAATTTAATTGGCCTAATATGTAAGAGTCGTCAATCTCATTGTTCAATAATTTGGAAAGAAAGGCGTGGTATGATCAATTTCTATAAGATTTTAAAGTACTTAAGTTTAATAACTTTAAAATTTGATTGTAATCTAAGTGAGCAGTTCTTGGGATATTACATTTAAAACATATAAATCTGAGGACGGTATTTTGCACTTTTTCAAGTTGATTGTTATGGTTTCAAATTAATGGGGCATATTCTAAAGCATAATAAGGAACGTACTGAGGAAGTATACAAACTTTTGAGTGCCAATGTATCATGAGATCGGTATAGTTTCTTTTTATCATACCAAATACAGCTTAGGCTTTTTTTTATTGCTACTAAAAGAGCATTGAATAATAGTTTAGAATCAAATAAGATTAATGTCAGTTAAATTATGTTAAAATGAAATTGATTGTTTTTTAGTGTAAGTTACAATTTGGCATTTGTCGATGTTCAGTGAAAGACCATTTGAAATACACCACTCATTAAATGCTACTAAATTATTTTATAGGAGTTTGATATAATCAATAGAAGCAATAGATTTGTAAATTTTTGTATCGTCAGCAAATAATAGAATATTGGAGTTTGTAATGGGGGATACACCATCATTTATAAATAAATTAAATAGGAGAGGGTAGAGGTGATCACCTTGTGGTACTCCAGAAATTACTTTTATGGGTGTTGATATAAAATTTTAATATTGAACAAATTGAATTCGATGACCAAAGAAAGAGTTAAACCAGGATAGAAGGGGATCAGCATAGCCTATTTCCTGTAGTTTTATATTTTTGGGATGATTGAAATTATTGATATGAGACGATAATTTGAAATTGATGATGTATCCCCTTTTTTAAGAATTTGATTAATATAGGTAGATTTCCAAAATGATGGAAACGAGCCACAATTTAAGGAAATATTGAAGAGATTTGTAATAGGTGGAGAGAGTATGAACCTGCAATTAAATAAAAATATTGGAGAGAGTCCATCAGGACCATTAGTATTTTTGTACGAGGGATTATCTAATTTGTTGAAAACTTAAAGGAGTTTAAAATAAACTATATTTAATGAATCAATAAATCGAATTTTATTAGATTGAATGTTAACGTTAGTAGGGACTGTGTCTTTATACACTGAAGAGAAATATTGACTAAATAAATCAACAATGTCTTGGCCATTTTCAGCTATAGTTTGGTTAAATGACATTGAGTTGAGTAAACCAGGTGACTTTTTAAGGTTACTAATGAAAGACTAAGATTTCTTAGGTTGGTATATAAAAGATTTTTGAACATTATCAGGAGTAATCTAGTCTACTTAAAGTTTTACATTGGGCACGCGTGGTAGAGAATTTTAAATAATTATCATGTGGGTTTGACAACTTATAAATAGAATATTTCTTTTTAATTTAATAAAATTTATTGAGTCTTTAGAAAACCAACATGGAAATTTAGATTTACAGTTTTTCTTTTTTTAGGAATAAAAGTATTTATAGCATAGGATAGGAGCGAATAAAAGTTATCAGTAATTATCGAAATATCATTATTCATTTAAAAAAAACGGTAGCACAGTGGGGTCGAGGCACAGTGTGGACGAGGCATAGATGGGACAAGTATAGATGATATCTGACAGTGATTAAAATCACTATCATAAGAAACGCTTCGATGCAAATCTGTAGATAGTGTTTCCTTTAGAGAAATTNTAGAACTTCACTATTTTTTAAATCTATTTCGTAATCTTTGATAAAGCCCTGTATGAAATCTATGACTTATTTAAATTTAAAAGTAATTGTTTCAAAAAATACAAATTAATTTTTTTATAAATATCATTTCTTTTTCATTAGCTACACATTTTTTTAAATCTGACCCTTTAATAGCCCAAAGGGAAGATTCAAAATTTGAATAATACATTTAAAAAGTAGAACTTTATCAACTTATATTTATAGTTTTCTAATTATTATTTATTATTTTTGCATAAAAATTATAATATTAGACTTTTGAATATTAATTTCATATTAAATATATACATATTATACTTATAAATCATAAAATTTTTAATCACAATTATGGATAGGAGTTATTGTTGCTTTTATAATAAACGAACAATTCTTTCTAAAAATTACTACCTACAGATTTGCATCGAAACGTTTTTTAAGATACTGATTTTAACGACTGTCAGATATCTATACTTATCCCTCAAGTATGCCGCACCCGAGTGTGTCGTGATCTCATTGTGCTGGGTCTCTTTTAAAGGTAACATAAATATTTAACTAGCTTATAAAGTAGAAAATGAACTAACAAATTAACTTCAAATACAAATTTTGAGACAGTGCTTAGGAAATTATACTCATATTTATATCTAAGAGAAAGAGGTGCCAAGAAATATCTACAGATATAGTCATACATGTGCCTCTCCCCCTATATTTAAAATCGTCATCATTTTAGGAGTACTGGTCCGAGAGTTGTTATCAACCCATCATTTTCTTAATTATATTATTTTATATTATATAAAGTAGTTAAATATGTATGTTGCCACTTAAAAAATAAAGTTATAAGGAATAATGCTAAAAAGTAATAAATAGCTGATAAGGAAAGAAATATGTGTAACTAAAAAACCAAACATTGTTATTAATGTTGTATTTATTTTGTATATAATTAAATGGCTTATGGTAAATTATTCACAACATGTATTATTTTTTTTCTACATTTTGGAAAATGTTACTTATAAGTTTTTAAAGATTAACCTTTTTTTCACTTTATCTTAAGAACTATAATTATATAAATGAATAAATAAAAAACCTTATTTTAATACATACAATTAAAATATTGGTTTTTATACAAGTTATATACATGAACAATATACATTGTTAGGTATGGTAGGTAATCTGTCATATCTTATATGTACATTTTTGATCAAAATGACTATTTGAATTGAAAAATTGTAAAATCTTCTCACACTATTTTTTTTAAAAATAATTATTGTATTTATAAAAATATTATTTTCCTTCAAAACTAAAATAATAAAAATTTCATGTCATAAAAGTGGTTTTGGGTAGTGTTTTAGATTTTCTGAAAAATGATGAAATGGAAATATTTGGTATTACAGTTCATCTAGTATCATAAAATATTTATTTTATACAATTTTTTTTTGTAATTGAGTACTCTATAGCAACATATATTACTATTTTTAATTAAAAATAATATTGAATAATATTATGTGTTTTAATTATAAACAAATTAATTTTAGAATTTTTCAAAAATGAATAATTATTACAATAATGAAAATGTCTCTAGATTTGAACTAATAAATTGGAAGCACACTTTAATTAAACCAAATAAGTACAAATTAGAAAAAGAAATAGAAGAATCTGTGAAAAATGATCACCAAAATATTTTATATACAATTATTCCTCCAAAAATATACATTAATAACTTTAATGAAATTTTTATTAGAAAACTTTCAGATAAAAAGGCTACAAGGAAAGATATAAATAATTTAAAAAATAAATTTTATGAACTTCTGATTGAAACAAGAGCAAAAAACAATGGGATATGTTTAGCTAGAAGATTAATATATACTCAATATTTTAATGAAATTATCAGACAGATCTTTAATGAGAATTCTTACCAAGGTCAATTATTAATAAGTATAAGAGATAATTTTATTGCAACAACCTATACATATGACACACTGATTAAATTAAGCGTTAATTACATAAATAAGGATCTTGATTATTTAACTGACCAAAAAAATAAAATTTCTTACTATAAAAAAAATATAGATAGTTTACAAGATCAAAATAAAGAATTAAGAAAAAAATTGGCAAACATTTCCAAAGAAGCTAATTTTAATGAACGTTTATTATTACAAAAACAAGAAATAGAAGATGAATTACATAATAGAAAAATGAATTTACTCAAAAACACTTTATCTCAATTAAAGTATCAACTAGACAGTATAAATTTAGTAAAAAAAGAAAATTTCAAAATAAATATTAGTAATTAAAGTATATTTTTTGACTATTAAAGACAAAATTAAATATTAAAACTAAATAACGAATAAAGAAATGACAATGTTATGTTGTGCTTTGATATGAGCATTATTCTTCTTCTTCTTCCTCTCCTTAATCCCAACTACTTGGGGTTGGCCACCCTTATCCTAAACTTTCATTTGACATGATCTCCCACATCTTCTACGCTCACATCAGATGTCCTCATATCGCATTCAATAACATCTCTCCATCTCTTTTTTGGTCTTCCTTTACCTCTTCTTCCTTCAATATTCATTTCTATAACTGTTCTTAAGGTGCCTGTACACTGTAGAGATAAATACAGCTAGAGTTAGATCGGTCTAGCTAGACTGCACTAGAAGTCTGTTTACACTATGATGAAATGTGATCTAAATAGAGTAGTCGTAGACAGCGCATAGATCAAATCTACCTAGATAAGTCTATGGTCCATGTACATTAGTCAGACTTGATAGTTCTCACTGAGAGATCATTTAGGCTAGTTGGTGACAATTCTTCGCACGAAAAATGTCGGACCGCAAACGCGTTGCAGCTGCAATTATAGTGTGTAGTTTGATTAAAAAAAAAAACAGGAAATAAAACGAAAAAACAGAAGAGGTTGTGGGTGAGAAATTGGATATAAAAAACGGATAACTAAGGAATGCACCCAAAGTTACTGAAAGAAATGAGTGTAGAAGATACCACTTTATCTTTTTTTTTTCGTATGAAAATTGACACCGAAGATTGTGTAACTTTCTTGCAACTTCTGCAGAACTAATTTCCAATTTTTATTCAATAGTTTCCATACATTTTGTCTTTAGCTGTCTGTCTCTGTATTCCTTCAGTGTACAATTCCACAGTTCAGGAGACGATTCAAGAAGCTCTATTAGTTGATAGGTTTTTTGTTTATCCCACACAACATTGGTCACTGTACAAATAATTCAAAAGAAAATGTAATGAAAACACTGTGATAATTAATTCAAATACCACGAGCTCTATTTGGTCTATTCAACTTAACAAATAGATCTAGACTGATCTAGCTATAGTGTCTATTTCCGTGTACATTGTAGATTTTAGTTTACTCTAGTGAGTCTACCTAGACCCTATAGAGGCAACCGTTAGAGCTCTAGTTGATATGTACACATCCTCTCCTCTCATTACCTACATGTCCATTCATATCACCGCATTCTTATTTCTAGGTACCCCTTGCATAACCTCATCTATCTCTCTCTAAAACACTTCCTTATCTATTTCATCATATCCCACTTGTGGTTCATAGGCACTTATTACATTCAGCACTTTTTCTTCGAATATCAATTTTACGACCATAATTCTGTCACTTTTCTTAGCTACTTCAATTACTCTACTTTTCATCTCTTCATCGATTATTATCCTTACACCATTTTTTGTACTAGACTTACCTGAGTATATTATTTTATAACCCTTACCTATTTCCCTTGATTTCTCTCCTTTCCACTTAGTTTTCTGCACACAACAAATGTTAACTTTTCTCCTCTTCAATACTTCTACTAATTCTTTACTTCTACTAGTTAATGTTCCAATATTCCAAGTACCTATTCTTACTTTGTATCTATCTTTCTCTCTTATACACGAGTCTAGCCTAGAATTAAGTGGTGATGTCCTTACACCGTTGACACTACAAGCGTAGTTTGACTGGATTGGCAATTGCCCCTGTAAATCAGCTTCGACACCAACGAAACGGTATAAATACAATAGAATTTTGTTTTAAAAATTTTTAAATCCAGCACTCAAACTAACAACTGTATCATAATATTTGATACAGTGATTATTACTATTTCATAAATATGATAATAAAACCAAATTACTTTGAATAAAAATTTTTTTTTGATTTCTTGGAAAATTGAAAAAATGAAATATGAAATGTTATGTCTGATGCAGTAATATATCTATAAAGCAATAACATGAACATAATCAAAAGTTTAAATAGTGTATTTAATATAAAAAAAATCAATTTTTTAAATAAATAATTTAAAATTTTTAAAAATATTTTTCTTTTAGCTTCGATGTGGAGCTATTATTAAATTAATTTTACAATAATGTTTTAGCTTCGATGCGAAGCTAAGAAGGTATTAATTTTACTATGATGTGTTTTTATATATTTTTTTTTTTTTGTGTCTGTGAACGCTCAATCTCAGCTCTCGCTGGACCGACTTTGATGAACAATATGTCAAAAGATCACAAATCGTATCTAGTCGAAGACATTACCCTCAAAAATTGAAAAATATACCCTCGTTCCCCGTAAACGGGGGAAATCCCCCAAAAAATTACAAATTTAAAAATCGCTAATTTTCAATATTTTTTCAATTTTTTTTACTTAAAATTGCCATAACTTTTTTAAAAATGACCAAATCAATATAATTTTTTTTTTATAGATACTTTAGATATTTACCTATCATTTTATATATTTTTTGTGAACATTTGACCCTTTAACAGCCCACAGGAAGGGTTTCAAAATGGTATTTAAAATTATTTAGAAATTATAACCATGATTTCTATTTAAGTGTTCTATTACGATAAAAATGCAAAAAAATATTGAGCTCTACTGATAAATTTACAATAAATAGTAATTATAAAACTTTCTGACTGCATATTAATCTTAACGATACAATTTTTTTAATTCTCATAAAATTTTCTATTTAACGATGTCAATTTCAAACTTGCCAATTGAGCTAAACGTTATAGTAACATAAATTAATTTTTTTTTATTATAAACATTCACAAAAATCAACTTTAAACGATTAAAAAAATAGGTTGAATATGTCATAATCCTTATTTTTAACATATTAATAATCAAAATCAGTATTAATTTTAAATAATTTTTTTTTGTTCTTAATTATTTTTTTTTTTATGTAAATACTATTTTTTAATAATAATAAAACTTAGAAGTGATAAAAAAAGTCTAATTACACATTTGAAATCATCGCGAAAAGTTGATTTAGAATGGTATAATTTTGTTTCTAATGAAAGTTTCTTGTAGTGTATAAACTTATAACTTTGTTAACTGTTATAACTTTATCAAAAATGACCAAATCAGTATAATTTTAGCTTCGATGCGAAGCTGAAAAGGTATTGGTTTTACTAAGATGTGTTTTTTTTTTTTTTTTTTTCTGTTACCACTTTTTCTCAGCTCTCACCGAACCGATTTCTTTCAATGATACGTCAAAAGATCACAAATTGTATCTAGTCGAAGACATTACCCTCAAAATTGAAAAAAATTCCCTCGTTCCCGTAAATGGGGGAAACCTCCAAAAAAATTACAAATTTAAAAATCGCTAATTTTCGAAATTTTTTCAAGTTTTTTTACTTAAAATTGCTATAAAATCTGTAGTTTTCAAAAACTTTCAATATAAATATAAATTTCAGTATAAAGTGAAAGATAAAAAAATTAATATCAAACGATATAACAATTGAATCTTTTTGGGACATTTCCCTTATCATAAAAATTGATAGTAGTTTATTCAAACTATGTCACTGATATCTTCAAATAAATATGATTTATGATTTTTTTTGATATATTTTTGAGTAAAATCCAGGGACATAGGTAAGAAAGGATTTAAAGGGTTTATGTACTAATAAATCCTGTCAAAATCTTTATATACGCTTTTGGATTATCTCCATTATAAAGACACACCATAAAATTAAGTTTTAAAAAAATGCATTTTTGAGTTGTCCGTTAAAATGAATGGGATAATTGTGGGAGTTTCGATTTTACAATGTTGCACAAACTGTAAAATATAGTCTGGTCACAAGTGACGTTGCACGTTTTAATAACAAACAGGCATGGATTGTTGTCGTGTTATGATATCAGAGTTGGAATAGCTGATAGTCGATTGTTGCAAGTCTCAACTCTTAATTTAGTAACTGTTACAAGCTGAGTGCCGACCCTTAAGTGTTTTTACAGTGACATTCAACTATGTCCTTAGACCCGTTTAGGTTTATATTTAACGGTTGTTTAACTTAATTTTTTTAGATTTTTTGTTATGCCGGCTCAAGCGCTCAATCATCGTATCAATAATAAAACCGTATTACAAATAATGAATGCCGAACCGTCCGCTCCCAATAATCCTAATAATAATTCCCAACAACATCTTATGAACGATGAAGTGGTTAACGGTAGAAGCATTACTGGAAAGCAAAAAATTACAGTCATCATACTATGTTTTGTCAATCTCATCAACTACATGGATAGGTATACGATTGCAGGTAATTTTAATTTTTATAAATTTTAAGATCATTATTAATTGATAGTCAGACTATCAAATAGTATAGAGTAAATCATATTAGGGTGTTTGTCACTTTACAACGAAGAGTAAAGAACTTTATAAAAATAAAATTCTTAGAATTTTATCATATTTAAATTTTATAAGTGTTTTACTTTGTAGTATACACATAAATGGGCGTGGATAAGGGTAGGTTTTTATACAATAGTCACTACTAGCACTCCTTAATTTATCTTACGTGAGCTAAATTGTTATTAGCATTTTTTTGTTCTAACACGAATTAGCCAAGAACCATCTTGGACTTCCTAATATGTGAAAGAGGGCTACCATTCTCTGTAGCATAGTTCGGGAAATAAAAGGATTTAATATTGATCATTTAACATGAATTACATAAGAAAGAAAAATGAATCCTAACTTTGAATATCTTTTTAAATATTGTAATTTTTTTTAAAACAAAATTAAGTGTAATTTGAATTTGTTTTCATTTTTAAATAAAGTTTAATATTTTTGTATTTGTCTTATCAAAAGATTTAAAAAAAATTATTAGTTTAATTACAACTTTAATTTTGCTAAAACTAAGTTTGATTGATGGAAACAAATTATGTGAAAATTTAATTCGTGATTTTTGATGAAAAATAAAATAGGATTTGGTCATCTGTTTCATCAAATTCGCCCACGGGTTTATTTTACTTGTCTTCATAATGACGATTAAATTAAATCTGAGTCATTGTGAATGTTTTTTATTTATTAATGAGTAATGACAAATGAAAGGCGTGGGGGAATCATAACCGTAAAAAATTGTATTTGTTTCGATTTAAAATTCCTTTTTTTTATAGTTATTTTGATATTGTTTTGTTTATTTAATAATTTCTAATGATTAAATATACAAAGCTAATGATCCATTAGTGTAAAAATATGAAGTAAATGATAAACGAACTGTCTTTAATTGAAATTTCATTTAATTATGAAAATTTTACTTATTTTTAAATTAAAAATCGAATTTTATTTAGGTAACTTTAATCATTTTTTTCGGTGTTAGAATTTGGATCTATCAAATTAATAGGAAAAACATCGTATTGAGAGCGGCGAAGTAGATAATTGCTTGATATGATTTTAAAATAGACTGAAAAAATTAGACAGAAATATTATTTTGTATTCTATTTTATTATTTTATCAAAAAAACTGTCTTCAAATTTTTTGAGAATCCATTATAGGAAAAATCCACGACTTGACTTGCTTAAAAGTTTCACCGTTTTGAACAAAACTAGAATGATGCTACTAATTAATTGCGTGCGTTTAAAATGCCTAGTGTGTAAGTACTTTAAAGATACAGTCTGTACTAAGGAGTGTAGTGCCAGTGTATGCTATTTTATTTTATTAAAAAAACAAAAGCTTCTTTAATTGTTCATCACCAACAAGACTCGCTATGATTTTCCTAGTATTGCAGTAGATTAGTCCACTGTCTGTTTATACTTTAACAATTTTATTACTATATCAAGCTAGATATATTTTTATTTATATAATTATTACATTGTCTTTGCTTTTTTAACTTCGATTCGTGGTTGAAAAACTTCTGATTTAACTTGGTTGTAAATTTCTTTTTTTGTTCAGTATGCTAATATTTCTACTGAATCGATTTTACTAAACGTTACGTCAAAAATTTACAACCCAACCCAAACTCAGGCCCGGCAATGAAAAGAAACGTACAAAAAAAATAAAGTTGTTATAAAACAGTCAGTTTTGATATTTTTAGTTTTCACTTTACATTGAAATATCTTTTTGAAAAATGGACGGATTATTACTGGACTTTTATTGATAGTACTTTATACATTTGCCTTAATAAAAATATTTTTTTTGAAAATCGAATCATTAACAAAAATTTTGTGGTAGCTTAAAAATCATATCAACATTTTTTTCATTTAAAATTTTGATAATGTTCTGATAAACTTACCTTCTTTAAACTTACATTAATTTATAGATAATACTATATACTTAATGATGAAAAAACAAATTTATTTGACATCACGATTTCCAAGAGTTTTTGGGCATTTAAGTCTAAAATTATACAATTTTTAGTAAAATTAGCAAATTTTGAAGTGTTTTACATAACAATGTAACAACATTCAAAATTAAATCTAATTAAAGATTTTTTTTTTGTATACCGTATGATAAAAAAATAAAGACGTTCTAATGACTTATCTTCTATGAATATTCGGCTGTTAAGTCGAAAGTAATGTAATTTTTGGTGGATATGAAACCGTTTTGTTTTAATTATGCTTGAATCAAAATAAAATTTTCAGTGGTAATATTTATAATAAGTTTCTTACTTTCGAAACAAATTTTTTGAAAATCCTGTCAATAACCAAAGCACTGAGGGGGGCATAACTATCATCAAATTATTTTATTTCCAATTTTTTATAATGTTCCAAAAAAACAAACTTTTTTCAATCCTGAATTAAATCATAACCATTATAATTTACATTAAAATGGAAAAAATTTTATACTAAATTTCGATTTTTAGGAGTTATTAAAACCAAACATTATAATTTTTGTCAACATTTTTTGGATCTTGTAATATCTTGTCTAGTAACAGAATGCAACTAAGTTAAGACTTGTCTAATGTAATATATGATTAAAAAAATATGTTTCGGTGACTTACTCTCTATGAGTAATCAACCTCTAAAGTTAAAACCTATGTCATTTTCGGCATAGGAGGGCATCCCACTGTGTTTTACTAATTTTAATATTAATTTATATGGTCAAATTAGTAAACCAAGGTGGAAAACTCCGTATTCGTTAAATTTTTTTAATGCTTTACAAATACGCTTTTATTAATCTGTAAATTTAATCACTGTTAAATATCAATCAATACTCATTTAAAAAATGCCTCAACTCCACTCCACTGTTCATTATTTATTATTTTTGTAAATACAAATCCGATTTTAATTATCTCTATATTCGCTACTGATTTCTAATTATAAGCTATTTGAATTATTAGCTTCGATGCGATGCTGAAAAGGTATTAATTTTACTATGGTGTGTTTTTTTTGTGTCTGTTGCTACTTTTTCTCAGCTCTAACTGGACCGATTTCTTTTAACAATTCGTCAATAGATCACAAATCGTATTTAATTGAAGACATTGCCCTTAAAAAATGAAAAATTTTCAGTCTTAAATAAGGGAAATCTCCAAAAAAATTACAATTTTATAAATCAGTAATTTTTGACTTTTTTTTATTTAAAACTGCCATAACTTTTTTTAAAATAACTAAATCTATATAATTTTTATATATACCCCACTGTGCTACCTTTTTTTTTAAAATAAATATTTAACTTATTTTGCTTTTTTCGTTTATTTCTGTATATCAATAATATTAGCATTAGTAAATCTATAATACATATTTAAGTTCAACATAATTCTTAAATAGTTAAATAGGCGTTAAACTTTTATTATGGTTTTTTTTTTTAGTGTAAATCAATAAGTTCGTATAATTTGCCTTAAAAGTATTTTATAAATTTACTTGTAGTACCTTAAATCCATTCAAATAACGGTAATATCTTATTGATGTGTTTGTTAAGTATAAAATACGTAATAATACAATTTGTTTATGGTAATATCTTTATAGTAGACATATGAATACTTTGACAAAAGGAGATATGTAATTCTTAAAGAATGTGATACTAATATATATTTTTATCAATGTCGGAATNATATGTGATTATTATATGTGATACTAATATATATTTTTATCAATGTCGGAATTAAAATCATAAATTTGACCGTATATTTAATACTGTGTTTTTAAAAATATCATTAGAGATAAGACATAGGATGTCTAGGAATTTTGTTTTTGTTGCTACTTAAATATTTTTAAAAAACTTAAAAATTGTTGATATATATGATAATTTTGCAATTAATTAAGATAAAAAATGAATTTTTTCTCGAAGTTATTGACTGAGTGGCCTTTCTGTAATCGTTATTTATTAATACTGTAAACATTTATTTTATCATATACTCAAGTTATGCTAACATAATATTTCAAAGACAGCATTAAATATACGTTTAAAATTGTTTATTATTATAATTAATTTTCTTGATGGACGATAAATTATATTTAAGTAATGATTAATTAATTAAATTGTGATATAACCTTTACGCTAATAATTTACCATAATTGTTTATATGCTTTTGAATTAGGTATTACTAGATTTTACTCACGATATACCTGGTACATATTTAATTTCAGAATGGTATTGTTTCGATACAGTGTGATTCTCTAAAAAATTATGCCTCACAAAATATCTTTAAAAATATTAGAACTAATCATTATTATTTATTTTTTACAATAATGGTTCTTTGATTGAGCTGATTCACAGGAAAAATAATTTGTTGCATCCATTAACTCTGAACTCATATTAAATTTAGATTTTAATTTGGCTACCTATTTCCATTGTTTTTTCACATCATTCAGTTAAAAGAAAATTTGATTCTCAATAAATTACAACTATTTTAAAGTTTAGGAGAGATCAGAAAAAAGAGTACTTATTTTTACAAGACTGCATCTTTATTAGATCGTAAACCTTTAGGTGCTACAGATTCGTAACAAAGTGATAAGTTATACAGTTTCATGTTTCTATGGACTGGTTGCTTTTATCAATGTATGGCATGATAATAACGCCTTTTTTTAAAACTATCATTTCTGAATGCCACTAAGCTTTAAACAGTTGTAATTCATTGAAAATTGAATAATATAAGAATGTTTTTTAACGATAGTTTTATTTTTTATTTACTTTTAAGCATGAATCTGTTGATATAAAAAATTGAGGATTGCTATTTGGAAATCTAATGTTAATATGAGTTCAACGTTAAGGGATGGTAGCAAAAAATTATTTTTCTAGTAAAGTAGCTAAAACGAAGAACCATTATTAGTTAAAAAATAAAATCACGATTAGTCGTAATATTTAATGAGATGTAGTTAAGGAATC